TGTGTGTGTGTGTGTGTGTGTGTGTGTGTGTGTGTGTGTGTGTGTGTGTGTGTGTGTGTGTGTACAGTACCTGGATGGTGATGCTCCTGTCGACCCGGGACATGTTGATGCTGTGCGGCTGTCCGTTGGCAAGGTTACGCTGGTCCACATCGATAGAAAAGGGCTCCCTGAGGCCTCCCAGGTTATAGCGCACCTGGAGAGAACCTGGAGAGAAACAGGAGAGAGATTAGAAACCTGCTCTGGTTTTATGAAGCTTCACACCTCTGCTTTTACGCTTCTCTAAGATCATTTAAGCGTGAGATCTTATCAATAAATACCTGGCTGCAAAGATATTGATGACATCAAAGACGTGCCAGTTTAGTTCATAATAGACTTTTCTTCTTACAGAAATATTCTCATTGAACTGAACACTCAAGGTCCAAATGTAGTTTTCTTTTTGAAGTGATGGTGCAAGGAGGGGCGAGGGATAGAGGGCGAGACCCTGAATGATTGATTGGCCCCCAGCTTGACAGGGGATTATAGATAACTTCTGTCCCGGGGCAGTGGGAGTGCGGGGGGCCCGAGACTTTCCAGCTGCACCCCCAGGCAGTGTGAGCATTTTGTAGTTGCATTTTTTATTTTTGCATCGATTGCTAAAACGCTAGATGGCACTGTCAATATTTTATTTTTCGTATTTCATCAAAGCACTTAGCTGCCTGTCAGCGGCTCAGTGGGGGGCCGCTGACCGGGGGGGATTTTCTTGGAGATTATAGAAGTTTCCAAACTCTGCAGCGAGGACAGCCTTTAAATATGTACTTTGCAGCACGAAACAAGTCCAAGCAGACTTCTTAGTGGTGAGCAACTGCAAAATGCGTGTGTGTGTGTGTGTGTGTGTGTGTGTGTGTGTGGGGGGGGTATCTTACCATTCTGCCTTAAAACCACAGCCAGATAGTCCTGCGTCTTGGAGCTGACGTACATCAGAATAGCAGGAGCGTTGGATGTGCTGAAACTAAAGGCCACCTCCTCCTTTGTCAGATTCACTTCATGCGGCGTCAGCTGGTGCGTCAGGATCTTTGAGTCTCTGCTGGCTCCTGCCACTGCTTCGGGCAGGAAGTTGTACTTTACCAGAGTCCCCGCCTCAAAGAAACCCCCGACATCTGGGTGAGACGACAGAAAGATGCATGAACACACACGTAATGCAAACAGGTGAACACACAATAAGTACTTTTTGTAAACACCAATAAAAAATAAAAATAAAAAAACCCAGGCAACCAATTCATCTATGCAGAAAAAAAGCAGAAATCGAGACAGCCAGACAGAAATAAATGAAAAGAAAAACACTTCCATCAAACAGTAGCCACAGGGAGGCACTCATCAGCTCACACACGCCAAGACACAACAGGGTAGACATATTAAAGGGCCGGAGAGAAAAACGCACACATAAATATGTCTGTGTGCAGGAGGTGGAGTAAAGTGGGTGTTAAATTGCCGTGCTCCAGCGTCTGAAAGCAAACAATACATTGTTTACCAGTACATTAACAGACCTAATGGCATATTCCAGCCTTTCCAGGAGGCTTATTGATTCTCGTAATCAAGTGTTGAAAGAAGTAACCTTATTTTTCTCAGGTCACGCTTCCTTGTTTTGGTTTATGTGTGTGAATGTGTGCACGCATGCACCATGTCCGTGTGTGTGTGTGTGTGTGTGTGTGTGTGTGTGTGTGTGTGTGTGTGTGTGTGTGTGTGTTACTGAAGAGAAAATAAACCACAATATGCGTGAAATGAAAGAGAATGGTTGCAGGGAAAGCAGAGAGTCTGGGACTGTGTGTGTGTGTGTGTGTGTGTGTGTGTGTGTGTGTGTGTGTGTGTGTGTGTGTGTGTGTGTGTGTGTGTGTGTGTGTGTGTGTGTGTGTGTGTGTGTGTGAATGGAATATATTTTGAAAAGTTTGCCAAAATGTACAGCCTTTATGAGTGAAGAATATTCATGTTCTGATGTTAAAGCTACATCCGTCCTCTCCCACCGGACACACTGGTTCAAGCTACATTACTGAGATCTAATAGAAGGTTTATTACTAGAAAATGGGACTGGTATCGTACAGAAAACCCCTCACTTCTGTTCAGCCGCATTTCCATCCTCCAATCTGCGCCGCACTGATATCGTTTCGGGCTCTGGGAGTCTGGAGGGACCCATTTTACCAATTGTTCTGCGTTAACCAGGCGGAAAGCTTGTGAAGTTCTCAAATAGCTTGCTTCTCACTTCTCGTTCTGATGCGGCAGAATTCTTCACTATACGTGCTCCTGGGTATTAACCGAATCAAACGCAAATCAGTCAAAATGAAGTATTTCTGACAGAGCAGCACGCTTGATTAAATTCCCTAACTCTGCTACAAAACAATATATTGAAAAACAAATCAACATAACAGCCTCAATATCTTTGGACTAAAGACAGAAAAAAGATTGCTTCTTGCCTCACGTCAGATATTGCTTATTAGCCACCTCTTTAACTCCTGGCTCTACTGTATGTGCCATATTAGCACGCTAACGTTAGCATAGTCAGCTTCCAAAAGTTATAACTTGACATGAAGGAGGCCAGCAGACTGCCAATCCTCTCTGAAGGAAAGTAGTACTTTTTCAATTCATAAATGTATACATTATATAGACATGTTTGTGTTTCAGAATTAGTAGCATTCATGGTTTTTACAATAGGTACGAAATATCCGATAATGCAAACCTTGTAAATGTGATTGCTGTTGTTTCTGTGAAAATACATTTAGAAAAATCTTTCCAGTTGACTTTATAATTGAAAAATGCTGGCAAAAAAATCTAATATTTGAATAACTCGATGCCAAGTCATTATTTTGATGTGGCTCTGATTGTAGTTATTGATGGATCGAGACTCTTTAATCAAGATTGACTTTACAAATGTTAACAACACTCGATTTTCTAACTTTGAGAGTTGCAGCCTTTTTTCATCATTATAAAACCGGTTCAAACCAAGTTGAAACTTCACAAAGCGCTTGTGCAACAGGCCCCTATGTTGTTATGTTTAAAACCTATTCTTATATTTGATCTTTATTCAAAAACCCTTCAGAGTGTGTGGGGCTTTGTGTAACCTGTCTTAGGCTTTTCTGAGAAAGAAGAGAGACTCTGACTTGCTGCCCAGAGCCTCAGCAGCAACACACACATCTGTCTGGAAGCATCAGAGGGAATTAGAAACTCTGCTCCAGGGCAGGGGTGTGTGTGTGTGTGTGTGTGTGTGTGTGTGTGTGTGTGTGTGTGTGTGTGTGTGTGTGTCTGTGTGTGTCTGTGTGTGTGTGTGTGTATGTCAGTGCATGAAAAAGTTGTGGAAAGAGAGCTGTGCGAGCATGCACACCTGCAGGTATGTACAAATGTGTGTGTGTGTGTGTGTGTGTCCATGTTTATGTATGTACAGTGCACGTGGGCTCCATGTGACCCTCAAGGGCAGAAAAGCATGAAGAATGAGAGTGTGTGTAATAATAATACTGCGGGGTCCCCTGAGCAGTGTGTAAATATGGATACAATGGAAATGCACTATGCAATTATGGCTGGCTTCATGCATTTTTCACTCGCTGAGAGGACGGAGAAAAGGGGGAGACGTTTGGGAGAAAACAGAAAAGGGGCAACTGGGAGAGGAGAGAAAGAAAACAGAGGGCCACAGAAATAAAAGAGGAGGGAGGGAGATGTGAGGAAGAAATGCTAATTTAGAGAAAGTAAAAGAGGAGAAAGGAGGGAGAAGAAGGCAGGGAGTAGGGGGACAAATGGGAGAACATGGAGAATAAGGAAGGAGGGAAAAAGCCAAATTCATACCACCAATTTTAAGTCTTTTAAAAGTATGTGTTTTTTTAATAAATGTTTACATGGACTGGCCCCCTCCCTTAGGGGAATTCATCCACAGAAAACACACTGGACGCTGCACTAGGTCAGAAACCAGAGGAGACTGTGAAGTACACCGCAGACGGACCACTTTTGGACAAAATGTCCTCTCCATCAAAGGCAGCTCTTTCTGGAATAGCCTCCCAACTGAGATACGGGATTGTCCATCCATCCATCTTCTCCCGCTTATCCGTGGTCGGGTCGCGGAGGTAGCAGTTCCAGCAGAGAGCCCCAAACTTTCTTTTCCCTGGCCACATCAACCAGCTCTGACTGGGGGATNTAACACAGGGGTATCTCCTCTTGCACTTTAGTCAGCTCTTGTATCTTCTCTTGCACTTAATATGTTGTTGATGCTATAGTGTGCTGCCATGTGGTAAATACTTGTGTGTGCTGCTCTTGCTCTTTTGCATATCAAGTATTTATTTCTTGCAATGTTTACAAATGTCATGTTCGTATATGTTGTAGGTCAGGGACTACGGATGGAAATGAGCTCAAAGCTAAAATCCGGCATATTTACGCTTCAAACATTATTTGTCTAAAGTGTTCATTAATGTGCATTGTCCCACGATTAAATGAAAATGAAATGAACCTGAGAAGTAGTGAATACAATAAGTGGACAAAATGGAAAAGGAGGAAGTGCAGGTTCAGGGATTAAGGAGAGGAAGTTGAAGGAGGAAAATGTAAAGGAGAGAAACCAAAGAAGCAACATATTTGGAAAGTAAAGTATAAAAAGAGAACGAGATTTTAGATAGGAGGGCAGGAAGTACCACAAAGCAAAGCAAGAAAAAGTAGAGGTGCATTGTAGATGAAAAGGACAGGAATAGAAAAGACACGAGAGAAGAGAATACAAAAAGAAAGAACATGGGTAGAGGGAGAGGAAACAATAAGGAACACAATGTGGTGAATGGAAACAAAGAAGAATGCAACATGACACACACACACACACACACACACACACACACACACACACACACACACACACACACACACACACACACACACACACACACACACACACACACACACACACACATTGTTTCTCTGTCATCTTGTCAGCCCCCTGCCAAGAGCACAGGGGAAAAAACACTATTAGGCTTTAGGAAACAAATTAATTCACGTGTCGGGGATCAACTCCCTGACTGGGAGCTCTGACAGCGCGCGGCTCTTCCCCCCCGGAGCATTTTAAGAAAACTTGTTTCGGGAAGTAGAACTTTAATGAATCCCTCTGAAACAAACACCATGTTGCAGCAATATGTGCAGGAGCAATGTGATATTTCTCATCTGCAAACTTACAGAAACATATCGCTTAGTGACGTGGTTTGTTTCTGATCTCTCTGCTCTGCACTGTTTCAGCATTCAGCGAGAGCACTCTGAAATCAGGGGGAATTGGTGGGTAAGCACAAAATCACTCCCGATCGATAGCTTTTATCATAAGCCCAAAGACTTTCCACGCTTCCAGACTGAATGGGGAAGTGAGGACAATCACAGCCAAATATCACAGTGGGTTGTCAGGCCCATTGAAACACATCCACTCCAGCAGTAATCATGGCTGTCTGCCTCTGGCTTTGGGAACTAAAGACGGACTATGCCAGTGATCCATAGCTTCATAAAGACGCCCTTAAAACAGAGCGTTAAAGTGATAGCGGAGATATTATCACTCAGTGTCATCCTAAATCTCAGAAACAGAAAGGTAGTTTGTAAGGTGAGAGGAAGGGAATCAAATACATTAAAAACATCCTTTATCAGATCCTGTTAGCTGCCTCGGGGAATTGCAAAAATCCCCGCAGTCCTGGCATAAGAGGAATAAAACCTGGTATCAAATTGAAAGCCCACACAAAGAGAGATTGATTTGTCTTGCAATTGAAGTTTTCAAGATGAATACCAGCGTGATGCATTCGTGGCGTTTATAGCCTCGTGATCTACCTTTCGATTGGAGGCTGAAATTGTCGTTTTCGAAAGTGCCTCTCACCTCTGGTGCAGAACGGGCCGTCGTAGGCGGAGTCGCTGCAGTCACACAAGTATCCGTTGTACTTCTCCACACACTTCCCTCCGTTACGGCAGTACATCCCAAAGCTGGTGCAGTGGCCTTGGCATCCTGGTTTGACCCCGGGCGTGACCTTCGCCCTTTCTTCCAGGTCCAAAGTGATGCCGTTCATCCGGAGAGCTCGGATACATCCCAGAAACCCCCGCTGACCCCCTGCGGCACCTGAGGAGGAGAGGTAGATGGAAAACAAATACAAAACAGGTAGGGAGGTGAGAGAAAAGTCAGGGTCACAGAAGACATGTTCCAATGTAAGAGTGTGTTTTAATCTCTTTTGGTAATATCGTAGCGCCCGGAGGAAGACACTGATGTCCCGCTAATCCCTCCGACTGTGACGCCGCTCCTCAAACAACCTTCAACTCCTTTTATTTCTTCACTAATTAAAACAGCCTAATGAACACTGTGTCTTAATGAACATCTCCAAACCATAAACTCTGAAAAGAAATTGATAAACAGTCAAACACACACATTTTGAAACACACCTCACACAGCGATCTGAACGAGTCAATAGAAACATTAATGCTCAGCCTTGGGGCGTCGATAGCCATTCCTCTAAAGTGCCTCCATCGTCATTCTGGCCGTGCACCATTACAGTCTAACTACCCATTAACTTGGACAGAGTAGGGGTGTTAAACAGATTCATGTGCAGCTAAATGACTATAGCAATAAACACACTCATAAACATGCACCCACAGGTATAGACTCAAGCATCACCAGCACACCCACAGAGAGCAGATTCACTGTATGGATACACACACACAAGAACGGGCAGAGAACATACACACACACACACACTATCATTAACAAGAGCCGGGGGGCATTTTAGTTATTAAAACCTCTCCATTGCATCCTTTAGATTACAGAGAAGTGTCCATTCAAGGAGACATGATAAGGAGAGCAGACTTTAACACACACGTCCCCAAAAGCTGCATGTTCCCACCTCACACACACACCTCTGTCACACACCTCCACCTACAACACAGTTCTGACAGGATGACTAATGCATGGCCTTGATTTCCTCCAGCAGACACCTATCAGGTTGGCTCTCACATGCTTTCTCCACTTTCCATTCCCACACAGGGCGTGACTTTTAGTAAACCTGCTAATTTATTTATTTTGTACCTCTGATTGGCTGGAGGTTTCTGCCACCTGTTTACCCAGATCCAATCAGCCTGTGATTAAACAGACAGCCGGCTCTGAGGCCTTGTGGAGACCAGGGTGGACGCACACACACACGCACGCACGCACACACACACACACACACACACACACACACACACACACACACGCACACACACACACACACACACACACACACACACACACACACACACACACACACACACACACACACACACACACACACACTTTCTGTATGGTGAGCCTAGCTGATACTTACTGAAATCAATAGAGGCTCATATATATTTTTGCATAGGGGTTGAGGCTGTCACAATATCAGATTTCCATTCCTTGATGATCGAGGCTAAATAATAAAGTGTAGGCAGGAGAGGTTGTGTGACCGTACACAAAAGTGCTTCACAGACAGTGAAACACGTGTAGTGTGTGTTCACACCGATTTACTCATAGGTGATGCTCATGGCTCAAGGGCATGAAACCCTGTAACGACGTGCTAATGAGGAATCATTGTATATTCATTAGGTTATACACATGCACACATATATTCAGGCCAAATCACCAATTAGAAGAGAAATCGTAAATGTGAACCTTTCGCCTTGGCTGTGAGATTGTTAATGTTTGTGTTGATTTTATATTACTGAGTAATGAGGGAAACATGAGTAACCATGCAGTAGGGTCTTAAATACAGTACAGAGTTAAGGGAACATACATTATGCATTAATAGGTACCTGGACAGCTCTTTTAATCAAACTTGTATCCCATGTATACTAACATCTGCATGTTCACCTTATGACATTGTAAAACCTTTTGGAGGTGGGAGATACTATCATATAATAGTGCTTTATATATGTTAATCTATAAATGTGCTTTTTCGCCCCGTAATGTATCACTGCACAGAATTGCATTGTGTTAATGGTATGGTATGAATAAACTAAAACTACCGCATCACAGATTGATGCCTCTGAAAGCCATTTAATTTGCAATTGGTGTTATTGTCTGTCCAAAATGTCATCACTTTATCTCATATGACACCTGTGTTAAATTGTCATAATTAGCATATAAAGTATTGAGTTATGGCCGAAAACTTTAAATGTGGTCACTGTGACTTTGACATTTTCTTCAACAAAATCCAATCAGTTCATCCTTAAGTCAAGTTGATGTTTCTGTCAAATTGGATATAAATTCATTCATGGGGACTGGCGGAAAAGACCATTTATTAAAAAATAACTACCTGGCTAAACTTGAATCACCACTAGTCTGGAGCTGCAACTAAATCAGATGCAATGAAACACATGTGTAACCTCTAGGTGAGGTCTGTGTACATGTTGTGTGTCACGGAGACATTTGATTACACTCATTAAATGGAACCTACTGTCTTGGCAGGTGAGCGATGCTGGTTTTCCTGTGACAGGTGTCGCACACATGCAGGGAGCAGACACAAGCAACATGTCCATCCATGCAGACAGAAAAACAGAAGAAGGAAGGACAGAAAAAACAATCCAAACGAGAGAAAATTAAGTAAAAACATGCAAAAACATAAATAAACAAAAGTGTGATAGCTAGCATTAATCAAAAGGGGGATACAAGAACAGATGGTGGCATGCAATGAATACAACGTGGCATGATGGATAGCTGTGCGTAGGTATGGAGTGAACTGGAGAGGTAAAAGTTAACAGAGTGAAGTCGATGACAGCCGGCTGATGGTATAACATTTACTCTCAGGGCCATTAGAGCAAATGAGCCACTGTGCAGTAAACACTAAAGCAATCAAATGCTTGATGAGGAGCATATTGATTGAGAAGGGGATGATACAGCAACAGATATGAGACCGGGTTCAGCAAAGCTTCTTGTTATATCCCTCCTGTGAGATGATGTGAAACCATAGAAGCTGATTATTATAGAAATTATTTCAAGGTTGCATCCATTTCATTCTGAGAAAATGTGTGAAGTGTCGGGGGAAGAATCAGTCGGGTTCAGATCAAAATCCTCCCCGCTCTTTCCAAATCTCTCCATCAAACACAAAACGATCTGTATCTTTTCTTGATGTCAGAGGCCAAACAATGAAGCGCTTCCCTTCAGAGTCTGGGTCACTTCCTGTGTAACTCCTCAAAGCAATCCTGAAGTGAGGATTTAGGGAGGATTAGAGATCAGATATGAGACGGTGCTGACACTTCTATGGCTGTTACCAAACCTGCTTTCTGTCTATCCTCCACTATGAGGTGTGTGTGTTTGGACGAGCCACAGACAACAGGCCTCCTCTTGTCTTCACCGAATAGAAAAGTCAGAATACACAAATGCAAATGAGGCAGAGGCGCTATCTGGAAATCATTATGTTCCTGGTTTCATAGCCGCGAGTCGCTCGGTGACGAAACCTCTCTCGCACCTTTCCATTTCACTAAATGGAAGTGCAAATACACTGAGAGGCAAATTGGGACATGATAAGATGAGAATGCTTCAGCAGCGTTCGCATCAGCAGAATTGATGAGACAGTGGAATTATATTATAAACGGGGGATCGGGAAGGGGGGTTAAGGCTATCACGTCGGGACACCTGATTGGAATTTGGAACAATCTCCTCTGAGCAGAACTTATTTCCAGCTGATAGTAGGAAGTCTGTGATCCGCCTCAGCACTTTTCCTCCCATCCGCAAATCCCTGAAACTGTTTCAGCCCTGGAGTTTGGTTTATAGCGCATTGACAGCTCAGCACAAAAGGGGGAATTAAACAGAGAAGTGAAAGCAGAGGGAGAAAAATTGGACATATCTGCTGCCATTTGAACTGCGGATGAGCTTGAGAGGGCATTTTGTGGAGGGGGGGAGGCAATAAGGAACTAAAGAGACATCTTTAACCAAATGTGGGCATAATTGGTGTGAGGATAAGGCCACGATGAGTTTGATACAGAGTGTGGGCGGGATAGGGAGAGGGATGATATCCTCCTTGTCCAATAAAAGTTTCTTAATCCAAAGATATATAAATGCTGAGTCATAGTATCAAAGTGGGAAAGAAATGACCTCTATAAGCAAATTCATTCATTTCTCGTCACACGCCCTCACAGCCGGCAGAGGATCCGTTTGAACTTCTTTAAAACTCTGATCTTGTATTAGTTATCTCGGATTAGTTTCAGGGACGTGCCTGAGTCCTCATATGTGCATATTAATCATGTTAAATGGCTGTATGCGTGTGTCTGCTGGATTAACATGAACTTAATTAGCAGATTGACATGAAGCCTCTTAAGAGACGACCTAATGACTTCCAGGAAAGGATGCTATATATTTTAAAGAAACAATCAGACGTCCTCGCAATGGATTTAAAGGGCAACGTAACTGTAAATAAAGACAGAATGACTTTGTATTCAATTCAATTAAGATAACAGGGCTGATGTTCTGAGGCTGCCGCACAGAAGAGCTCATTATTATTGTGTGTCTATCTCAATATTTTCTATAATCGAGCCATGAAGCTTCCCCAAATGATATCTTACATTCAGGAAATTAACACATTTTCTGAAAAGTTATCTTTGGATATACAAATTAGTCATTATCTTGAGAATCATGCGGAAAAAGCCCTCTGTGAAAATCTTGAAAGGATATAGATAGGAATGAAAATGTGTGTGTGTGTGTGAGTGTGCGTGTTTGTGTGTGTGTGTGTGTGTGTCTTACCAACGTAGAGCTGGCTGAACAGCTCTAGGCGTGTGTGTCCCTGAGCCGGAGCGAGCTGAGAGGCCCGGTACGTTTCATCCAGCTGAAGCACGGCCTGCTTCACGTTTCGCTCGGCCATCACACGATGCCATTGGTCGTCATTGAGGGGCGTGTCCGAATGCACCGTCAACTCCACAAGTCCGTTTCCAACGTCGAAGGAGAAGGAGATGACTTTAGGAGCTGCACAGAGAGGGAGAAGAGGACAAATATAATCAGCTTAAGTCATTTATTAAACCACATGAAGCGTCTCTCTCTAGAACCCAATACTTCATGTTCTGCTGCACTCTGCAGGTAAGTATGCTCTCCTTGTAATTTCAAATCTAATGGCTCATTTGTTTCAAGGCCCTTCATTTGGCTGGTATAGATTTCAGATATGCAACAGACGACGGCCCACAGCTTCGGACAGGATTAATCTCACGGCAGCCGACGGATCCCAGAAGCTTTTGAGATTGCACGACATCAAGCTGTGCACCAGAAGTTAAAAAGCAGTAAAACAGCGAGAGATCAACAGTTGAGGAAAAATAACAGACAGGATAAGAGCAGAACAATAATATGCAATCTCTGGGCAAGATAACCTTTCTGTTCTGCATGATTGTTCCTAAAGTAAGTGGATTTATGTACGTTTGTGTGTGTGTGTGTGTGTTTGTGTGTGTTTGTGTGTTTGTGTGTGCCAAGTTCAAATGCCATGAAGTTCAGTAGCCTTATATTTTAACAGACCAACAGGGGGCACTGTTATACCTTTTATGACCATAACATGTCAAATAGTCATGGATATTTCTGTTTGTGTGTGTGTGTGTGTGTGTGTGTGTGTGTGTGTGTGTGTGTGCGTGTGTGTGTGTGTGTGTGTGTGTGTGTGTGTGTGTGTGCGTGTGTGTGTGCGTGTGTGTGTGTGTGCGCTCTCGACCTGCCACCTATCCATTCCAGATGTGTTTGCGACTGCAGTAGAGAAGACACTGTCTGATGGCTTTTAACCTCTCTGCAGGGAACAGTGATCAATCTCTTTGTGTGTGTGTGTGTGTGTGTGTGTGTGTGTGTGTGTGTGTGTACCTATTTTCAACTCTATCTCAGCTTGAGACAATTGCAATGTCGCAGCTTTTGATAAATACATTTCAGAGTAAAAGCTGCGACATTGCAATTGTCTCAAGCTGAGATAGAGTTGAAAATAGGTACACACACACACACACACACACACACACANGCGTGCGTGCGTGCGTGCGTGCGTGCGTGCGTGCGTGCGTGCGTGCGTGCGTGCGTGCGTGTGTGTGTGATTGGCCGCTATCTGCCCTTGCCCCCGGTGATAGGATGTGAGGCAAGGAGGAGAGGGGAGAAGCTCAGCCATGTCATTGGGGAGCGCTTATCGCACTGTACCAGAAGACACACACACACACACACACACACAGATGCAGGGATACCGGTGCATACCTCCACGTACATAGAAATGTCATATGCAACTTATTTTCAGCATTTGTGATTCGTTTACATCAATATACATTCACACATACACATATTTCCCCCCTCGGCTCCACTGCTCCTCCAGGGTCGTGATGGGGGGTCTGAGGCCGATCCTCACACAGTTCAAACCACAGTAGCCTCCACTCTTCGCCTCTTCCTCTTCCTCCTGCCCTTCACATGCACCCTCCTCCTCTCCTGTCAGCTGTCCACTGCCTTTCTCTTTGCTCTCCTCTTTTCCATCAACCGTCACCTCTTCAATATTCAGTCCTCTCACCCGTACATGGCCTCTTCTTCCTCTCCCTATTCCTCTGACTCTTCATCTTCCCTGAGTGATAGGAGAGAGATGGGGGGAGGACAGCAGAGAAGTCCCCTCACCAACCACAGTCTGATCATTCATCAGCAGCTGTTTAACGCGCGGCTACTTTGTCTTCATTAGCTGCCGCTGGTTTCGCTTCATAAAAGTCATTAGAAAAGTTATCAAGAAATCCCTCCGCACCGTATCCATGCATCCCATTTCAAGTCCTCATCGGCTATGAGATGACCAATTCTCTATCAAGTAGTATTGAAGGAATGCAGGAAATTACAGGCTATGTTAATACCTTTGCACAGGAATATAATTTTACGTGTTGAATTCTGAGGAGATATTAAACGAGTCACACGACTGACGTGAGATAACGCTCTTTTATCCAGACGTGATTGATAGCTCTTTGGAATGAATTGAAAATGGATGCTTTGCCATTTGAAATAAAACAATTTCTACAAAGAATTCATTCTGCAGCTTATCGGATCAGAATAGTGTTTGCCTCAGTGCTGATTACGTCTCTTTTCTCCGCAGATAACTACTGGAACGCCGCGTCGTTCACCACCCCGTCCTCCTACCTGCACTTCGCCACCTTCCAGGGCGAGACCAGCGCCGACATTTCCTTCTATTTCAAAACCAGCGCTCCCTACGGCGTCTTTCTGGAAAACCTGGGCAACACAGACTTCATCCGTTTGGAGCTGAAATGTAAGATATCTGAGTGATTCTGTGTGTGCACGAGAGCCTCCCTCTGACTCTTCATAGAGCGCTGGTTGCATCCTAACACCACACACACTCAAATTCACACTGACACACACACGCACACACACTGATGCAGATGCACAGCGACAGTCAATTGCCTTCCTGATTATGTCGCACTACTTTGTGATTGCAAGAGAGAGCAATCATTTATTTAAGGTAATTGGTGTGTGTGCAATAATGATGTCCATTATAAACCTCTGTTTAACCAAATCACCCATTTTCAGGGTTGATAAAACACAAACTCTCAATACACACAAATACTCCCTTTTTCTCATTTTATTAAAAAAAATAATCCTGCTAATACGAGTGTTTACCTCTCTAATACACACTTACGCAGCGTCCACACGGCGGCGTGCGTTGAAGCTTGCCGGTGGGCGTGTCTGAAACTCGACCAACAACCAATCACATGAATCTCCCGCCCCGGACACACAATCACGCGGTTTGATTGGCTAGAGCTTTTACTGGCACATGATTTGATTGGCTGACGCTTCCATCGAAGCTTCAAAAGTTGAACATTGCTCTACTTTTGAAGCGAGCAAAGCAAAGCGACGGAACCACAATGCAATTCGGCAAATGGGCAGAAGCGTTGAAGCTTCAACGCATGCTGCCGTACTGATGGGCCGTCACACACACACACACTGAGTCACTCAATGGTGTCAGTGACAGGTGTAAGTGTTGATTGTGTACCTGCACACATTGAAGAGTCAGAACTCGTTCACATTCCTCAACACACAGAAACACACATGCGTAGGTATATTTTAATAAAGCATAAATAATAAACTAAATCAATTAAAAACATCTCAAATATTTGTCTAATTCTGATGAATCTTTACTGGAAAGAAACACTTCTTTATTTGACGTATTGTAGCTGAGACCTGTCAATGAGATGAGCAGCATAAGATGTGTTTACATATTTATTTGACACATTAGAATAACAGGTGCGGCATTGCTATTTTTATATTTCTCAAGCTACTTGTGACAAAATACAAGGTCAAAACTGCCGTCTGTTCGTCTCAGCTGTGTCAACATTACAGGATCTCACAGCAGAGAGAGAAACATCGAACACAATCTGAAATAAAGATGAATCGGCATCATCTGGGATTGTGTTTCGAATATGAAGAGAGACCAGGAAGAGGACCCATAAGACCTCGAAGACTATATGAAGAGGAGATAATTAGCAAGCTGAATCCATTGAGAATAACTGCAGAAAACATTGATTTACAAATACATTACAGCTGGTTGTTGGTGAGGAGCTGGAGGATAAACACAGTGAGGTTAAGGTGGATAAATTCTGTCTCACTCCACCTGTGAGTTTAAGAGCTATGGAAGCAGACTATGGTGCCAGCCGCAGTGTCCTCTCAGCACCATCAGTCACACGGAGTTCAACTTTACGGCCTGTGGAAGACATCACTCATTAGGAAATCTCACGCTCAGCAGTTTTCTGAATCCACAAGGACATGAAGTTATGTGTCTAACCGAAGAGCAGTGAACCAGGAAGAGCTTGACGGTGTTTTGGAGATGTTGGAGACATTTTCTGTTCTGCTGGTTTCATCTCTTGGGGCGTGACCATGAGTTCAAAAAGAGGATGAAACTACTGAACACATATAACTTCCATAGATATGGGTTATAAGGGGATTTCTGAGCAGTTTCCCTCCTGCAACAGAGCGAAGTGTTTCAGCACCATGGACAGCTCCAGGCAAAAATTGAACAAACATTAAAGACTGTTCTTAACCTGCATCCTTCTGGAAACTGCTCAGAAACCACTTAATTGTGAAGATACCTAGAAAAGCCATAAATCTTCTAAAAAGCACCAGTCTACAGGTGGTAGTTGTTAAGTTTCATGAGGCGCAACAGGCCTTTTTAACAATGAAATGGCTATTATTCTCACAAACTACCCAGCAGTACATAAAGGAAACACCACTTTTAACAGCTGCAACATTAAAGTGATGAACACAATAATTCATCTTATCTTATGATATATATATACTATTCTGAAATGGGCTCTTGCACAGAATAAGTAACTTTGATATTTTAGGTAGATGTTGCTTTTAAATCCAGTATTTGGTCGTAGAACTACTTTTACCTAAGTAAACAGTTCTTCCACATCTGCCCATACATTAAAACATATACTCTTGCACGAAAACTCAATGTGCTCACACTATACTGAAGAGTGTGAGAGGTTTGCCAAAGGGGGTGATAACACACACACACACACACAGATTCAGTGAGTGTCCAGCAGGCCAGAGGAGATATGGAGTGTGTTTGTGTTTGTCTCTCCCTTGCTATCATCTCGCATTTTTCCCCACAGCACATGTTTAGACACACTCGTGAAACAACTTGCATGCACACACACTCTCTTGCACACACACTCTCTTGCACACACACACGTAATCTCTGCTCTCTCTGCTCTCGCTGGTGCAAAAGCTCTATTTGCTCCAATCCGGTCAAGGTATGAAATGACTAGCATTAGGCCAGAATAGCATGGCTGTGGCATTGCAGGAGCTCACACACACACACACACACACACACACACACACACACACACACACACACACACACACACACACACACACACACACACACACACACAACCTTGTAGCAAACACACATCAGTGTGACCTCAGCGGACTTAAAGAGCCATCAGCCGGACACTGTTCCTCTTTGAATCTTAAGAAGAATATTTGAGAGGCAGCATTGGGGGCATATTCAGAAGTGGACGTGTAACAGGATTGAGGACGGATTGAAAGGTCCTCAAATACAGAAACGCTTGACTTCTGAGGCTCACTGGAAAGTATATGTTGGGTCTTTAAGAGGCTGCAATTTCCGTGATAGTCTCGCCCAAAGGTTATAAACACTTACAGTCTGGGATCCAGCTGGGAAATGCTCTTTCCTGCTGAGACTTCGGCTTAAGAAATGTTGTTATTGCCTTTTATTATGTGAAGGCCAAACAGAAATAAAGTTTAAATCTGAAGTTTAGAAGAGGCCTATGCATCACTCGCTTTCTCAAAGTTGTCAGATGTCTCTCTGACATGTAAAGCAATATGTAGTTATCTACTAAAGCGAAAATCAGCCACCACTAAGAATATATATTCAACGGGCTCTACTTTTAAAATGCTCAGAAGAGAATCTTTATCTGATCTATGTAGACACTAAGAAATATTCTGGAAGATATCAAAAGAACGTTTTTTTTTGCCGATAAAATGGATTTTCAGAGTCTCTTTGTCACAGAGAGATCTTTTCTTTTGACAAGTTGCTTGAAATCATGTTTGAGCGTCGGCAGCAGCAGGTTTTCTGTGGTGTTTGAATCAAGTTTCTCTCTTTAGTAGGCCGCCTCAGACAGTGGTGGAAAACAGAGCACGAGGCCATCAGAGAAAATGAGATGAACAACAGAGAATGAACAGAAGGAGATAGAAGTGATAACACACTGCCAGCCCTCTGAAGGTAGCTTAAAAGCTGCTAAACGGAACTTCCCATTACACAAACACACACACACACACACACACACACACACACACACACACACACTTACACCTGTAGCATCCATCACAGGTATGCAAATAGAGGAGACAGCTCTGTGCTCTGAGGGCACGTCAGCTTTCCATCCTGTCTGTGGACTGAGTAGAAAAATAAAGTTGTAGGGCATCCATCTTGTTTGCAATGCTGCTAAAACAACAGACAATTAACCACACACACACACACACACACACACACACACACATATGCCATACAGCCTCATTGCTAAGATATTGTTTCCGCCGGGGTAATCTGATATATGTTTGGCTTTCTCTCAGCGTTTGAAATAAGTGATGGCTGCTCCCTGCATACAGACATCATTAATTCAGTGTACTAAAGCCTGTCAGAGGGTTTACACTCCAGGCCTCGATGTGTGTGCATGCATCTATTTCTCTGCTTGTGTATCGTGGGAAGTCAAATGTTTAAGCGCTTCTTCAGATTTATCTTACACAATCACATCATCCAGGCAGGATTATGTTGGTGTCGTTGAAACTCAAGAGGAAATGATAGTGTCTGAGAAAGGGATAAAGGAAGGAAGGAGAGATGGAGGGGGGGGACGGGTGGGTGGGCAGAGTTAATGCTATGTTAGATACTGATAAAAGACGAAGTAATACAGGGGAAAGAAAGGATAGTGTCAGGATGCAAGAGATAAAAGAATGAAAGAAATAAAAAAAGATAATTAGAGTTAAGTAATATGAAAAGCATATTACAGCCCATTAAAGCCTGCTTTACTAAGGACTCATGGCT